TGTGTGCTGTGTGTAAGTCTATATATACACAAACAAGTAAAGTATATAAGTACAATAACTCATCATTAAAAAGATTGTGTGCGGTGTAGAAGCATATATACACAAAAATAGTATGTATATAAGTACAATATCTCATCATAGCATATCATATCAATATAGAAACAAGGAAGCGAGGAAATGGCAACAGCTACATTGAGTGCAACAGCCACGTCAAATCAATCGACCACGAAGTTGCTTCTGTATCCTCTCTTGTGGGAAGGAAAATGCTTCAAAGTGAAAATGAAAAGAAAGGAATGTGCGGAAACACACATACAGCAACTACCGAAGGGCCGACTTTCTTCGTTGCACTGTGAGGGCTTGAAATAGCTCATCCTGTGATCTGTAAGGCCCCGCCCGTTCCATCCTTGTGTTCCAAGGTTCAGAAATAGAGAAGTCAAATTTCAAGTCAAAGGAAAAAAGTCAATTTCAGAGATAATGGATGGACAAACTGTCTGTTAAATTGAATCTTTGCAGCATGCAGCTGTGACGACCTTGCTAATCACACATACACACACACACACTCGCCGTCAACTTTTATAGCCCCAGTACTTTACATCCATCATGTTCTATTGTAATGGGAACTATTTAAAAATTAATCAAAGGCCTCTAGTCAAGTCCGCTCGTCCCACCAATGTTGTTTCAAGTTGGCACTGATGATGCCAACGTTGAGTCGGTTCGGGGTGCTGATCGTCTGTTTTGTAAATTTGTGCCTGGGCTCATTGTGAAGGGCATGGGATATACAGTTTTACACCGCTGGCACCTGTGTAATCTGTGTCTATCAAGTTGACAAGACATTTCACAAAATTCAACTACAAAAATATCCGAAATACAAGTTAAATCAATATAATATATGGAGAGATTCAGATCATGTCATCAGGATTGATGTAGCTATGTGCAAAGATTGGACTCCCTGCTCTGGACATCTTGGAGGCTCTGTTTTGAGGACTGCAGCTACTGGACCTCAACCCGCAAAGCAAGAAGAGAAGGCGAGACACATTCCGATTCCACAAACCCTGAATTAGGGGACCCAAAACTTGGAACCAAAGCCGTGAGCTTTGACTTCGGGTCGTATGTCACAAATGTAAGCCGTGAGTTGTGGCTTCGGATATGTCCTGATCTGTGCATCATCGGTGCATCATGCGGTTAGCAAAAATGATAAACATTGTGCCTCAATGGTAGTCTTAATACTGCTTCAAGTCATACTCTTCCACTGCTAGGATGGAAGCATGAGCAGCAAATGATAACTTTTCCATCTGAGAGTTTGCCGTCAATCCTGAGTCTTGTGAGTCGAAGGTGGCCAGCTCACAATATGCACCCTGCACATCTCTCGACATGATTCACCATACATTGCTACCCTCAGAACAGAACTTTTGCATTGATCACCTTGATTCATTTTGAAGCTCTTGGCTCGCATTGTCGCGGCCAAGTTGCCCTGCCAGTCGATGCCTTCGAGCAATCGACGGAAAATCTCCAGCTGGAGAGACTTGTCGTTTTGCAGGTGTATCTCCTGAGGCGTTGCACAAAAGATGCAACTATGTATGAGTCAGGATTGTGAGCTTGCAAAAAAAGGTGGGAGCAGTTTGAGTCTTGTAGAATGAGATGGGATCAAACTGAGTTGGCGTGACAAGAAGGTCCGGTGGGTGATGAAACTGTTTGCGTAATCTAACCAATATATATATCTAACATGTATATATAGTTGTGTTGCTATTAAGTATTTTAATATTTAATGGGTGACGTCGGGACCAACCATTCTATATACAAATCCGGCCGGGGACCGAACCTCTGTCACTACAATTGCACCGTTCTGTCCTGATTCTTGTGGTTAGTTATGTTCCTGGGGAACCACTATGCATAATTGAAAGGAACAATTGGAGAAAGTAGGGGTTGTAGCCTGCCAATTTGTAGTCACTGGAGTTGGGGCCCAAAAACTCGAAAAGTGACGTTGCGTCGCGATTCATTTTGGCGTGTTTCTTTAACTATGTTGTGCTTTTTGACACAATTCTGAGGACTCTGTGGGAGAGCAAGCAAAAATTACTGTAAATCCTTTTGTAGTAAGGGCCAGCAGTGCCCAATCCTTGCAAAATCCTTTACAAAATGGAGGGCCCCTTGGCGTCCAAATGTCGACACTCAAAAATCCTCTTACAGAATGCAGTCACTCTTATGCATCAACAAAACGCATAAGTTATGAATCCTAAGGACCACCAATTGGTAATGGAACTGTAATCAGGGATACAGTTTATATAAATGTAGAGGCATACGGCATAGAATACAAAGCCTTACAAAATGCAAGGCATCAACGTTGACACATCTTGACTTGCTCCACCACGAATTCTATGTAAAGTTAGGGGCCTCAACGTCATTTCCGCTTGGTTCCTACCAAAAAAATGGCCGTCATTGTCTCACAACAAAAAAACTGTTATATGGGCCTTGAGGTCACCCATTCTATATAGGAAATATTGACGTCAATATAATACAACTGTATATTGAAACAAAAAAAAATGTGAAAGTAAAGGAACAGCTAGCAACTAGTAACTAGCAAAACATAGGGCGGCAAATATTTTTTTTATGTTCAATGCTCCGATGACCCACTCGTCGATCCGATGAGCCATGTGTTGCAACCGATGGTCTGCCGAGCCGAGGATCCAACCACGCGGCACAGTCGATCCGATGATCGACCCGACGATCCGTCGATACGAGTTATATCATGTTATATCATGTTATATCCGATGTTCCGCTGCAAGTCCACCTTCGAGGAGGGGGATTGATAAATCAATTCTGGGGGGAGACCCAGACGACCCAACCCTTGCTTCGCAAGACGAGCTCAAGGTATCGCCTGAGGGCTACCTTTATGTGATTGCCTTGCCCCATGCTTGATTCAAGGAACTGGGCTTGCCGTTGTGGAGTCAAAAATCTCCTCACTCTCACATTCGATGCCTCCAGCGTGCGCCAGCGACAAGACCCCAAACCTTTCCGTTGGTACGTGGAACATCCGCCTCCCGAGCGTATGGACCAAATCGGGTTGACCCCCCCTCATGTCATGGAGGTAATGGGCAGGGTGATGGAGTTTGTCTGGATGATGCCTGACATAGCAAGTAATAAAACATGCACTGGGCTCTCTGCGTGTGCAGAGCTTCTATATCTGATGTTTTCATGGGCAAGCTACTACAAAGAGGCATTCGGAATTAAATGTGAGATTCTATCATGGCAATCAAGAGGACACCACATAGTGCGAAGAAGACACTTGACCGTCTGGTCCAAAAGCTGGGATCGGGGAAGTCCGGCATGTCCTGGCAAGAGATACCTTTGCACATCAGTTTCTCCCTATGCAATTTAAAGCAACTGTAGACTGAAAAACCAGCTGCTGATTTCAGCTAGCGTGATTTGACAGATTTAGCTGACTGTGCAGTCGGTAAACCAGAACGATATAAGTATAAGACACAAAAATGGCCCTACGTAATAGCCAAATTTTGATGCAACTAGCACTGTGCATGAGAAGCCTTTTTAGAGCATTCGCCGCTACACAAAGTATATAATCAATGAATGAGTCTTACCAAACCTGTGTGTACAACATCTGACTGGCCAATCGCTTCTTCTCACATCCCAAGGAATGGCGGGACATTGCGGGCATGCACTCAAAAACAGAACAAATTGACACCCGACCCAAATTTCCTTGAAGCTGGTTATGCAATTTCTATTACTTCGGCATCTGGCATCTGGCATCCAATGAAGACTGGCAAAACCGAGCTGTATTCAGCAATGTCATGGCCCGCTCTTTCGGCAGTCCTTCTCCACGAGATCGCGTGTAGTCTCCCAGGAAGAATGATCATCCGCCGAATACGTTGTTGGTAGACCTCTGGAGGATGAGCAGCAAAACCCTGGTACAGGTACAAAGGTAGGAGGTAGCACCCCAAACTGGTTGGGACAAACAAAAAAACATTTCAACACGATCTAAAGGCATGACAGCACAGAACCATCCCAAATTCAGCAGAAGTCGAGATCAGAGCGGCTCATGGTAGAAACACCGGAGGATGGTCTGGTCCAAACGCTCGAATCTGGAGGGATCAAACAGTCCTGCGCAAAAGGCTGGACATGGGATGGCCGGGCCAAACATTGTGTTGCGAATATGTTATCACTGTCTTGAGGTCATGTTGATTGGACTGCCCATATCTGATGACATTATAACATCCATGTGGATCCTCCATACCTGGCAGGACTTGGGTAATATTCCATCTGATCTGATTCGGTCTAATTTCAAGGCCATGCCAAAAAAAAAACCGTACTCTGAAATGTCCAGCAGTCCTGAGCTGTGCCGCTCTCAGAAGCATGCTCCATCAAAGCACCTTGCACCAAACTCCACGGCGATGATCACTCGTCAAGGAAACCGCTTGAGAAACCTTTACTGCTGGTCAAAGTGACCGAGCGTCAGCCTAGCTCTGAAAAGCAAAGAAGTCTAAAGCCACCAGATGCTCTCTAAGAGTAAAGACCGCCTAATGCGGGACAACCATCTTCGTGACCTCCAGACCTGCCATTTCAACTTGTTCCAGCCCAGTCGACCACAGTCGGGTCCCCTCAATATCCTGGTTCTGCTTGTGCTCAAGAGCACTCGGACTTAACACTGTGAGATGTCTTGAAGACACTCTTTTTCTATCAATGTCTGAACTCTCTGATTTGCTCAATGGACACTCTTTCTTAAGAGCTGTTGGCAGCTTCAAGCTTTGATGGGCCAACACACGCTTGTGCATCCCCTTCCTCCTGTCCTCCTGGCCTGATATGGCAAACTGGCCCGTCTCAGGAGCTAAAACAGCTGCGCGCAGCGTGTTTCTTCGTTCAAACGGTGTGACCCAAACATCATCAAACATCTCATGAGTGTGAGATCTTGTGGGGGAAGACTGGAAGACTGTTCAAAAGAATTCTCTACATGCTTTGCACTGCATGCTGGGTGGAGGCAGCAAGGCTCCAGCGGAGACTCCTTGTCGCCAGAGACCTTAGCGCGTTTGGAGGTTACACTTGCTCTGGGTGGCTGGGCACGCCATCTCCAATGGCTAGTATGCTTGTGACCAACATCTTGCTCTTGGATCCCAAGCCACAGTCAGGGCACTCGCACAGCTTACTCTAACTCTAACACGTATCCAAACAATTCACTTTCAGATCCGCACAATTCCACACAATTCCTGTGCGATCCCCTCCAGCTTCACATAGCTTGGCCGAGGTGCTGGTGGGCTCCAAGTTGCGGCACAGCCACGTGAGGAATGAGCGGCCTGTGAGAAATCAGTTGTTTTTTTGAGACAGGAAGTGTAGAAAAAACATAGGGCAAAAGGAACTGCAGAACAAAGACATGGAAGAGCCAAATGAAGGTGGCTGGACAAGGGTGAGTCTTTCGAAAGCTCATCGATGCCGTTCCAGCTTAACCAACCGATCTGGTGATGTCAACAAAAATGAGAATGCCAAAGCATTGACCAGTGTTCACCCAGGCTGCCCTCCACGAAACGAAGGTGCAAGTCTGGCTTGTCGACCCTTTATCTTCATGTCTCGCGGTCTTTGGCCAAGAGTTCAAATAGGCATGGTCTTCACCTGGCAGCGAGGCTGCCAAACTTTTGGGTGATGCCTTGGCTGCCAATGGCACGGCCTGCAAGCTGTGAGTCCCAGAATAAGCTAGACAGCTAGGCCACAATGTGGCGCCCATTGAGGCTGTTTGCTCACCTTCCAGTGACTAAGGGCACGCACAGTCATGGCTGTGGGTAAACATGGGACACTCACAGCTTCTCCACACCATGCATCATAGGACTTAAGTGACTTTAAGGCGACCTGCAACACCTGCGAACGCTACGGTAAGTCTAGAGTGTAGATGGTTTTAGGTAGGTGCGTGATGAGGAACTAAGTACAAGAGCCCAGGAAATTGCAAGCACAAACTGGTCCGGTCTAACAGATCCAGCGGCTGCTAATCGCCGCAAAGGAGACTCTAGGCTCTCTGTTGAGGGAATGCAGGACAAATCCTCATCCCGCAAAGCCTAGAATATCAACTCACGGTGGAGGAAAGATTGATGTCCACATACCTCTGTCTGTGCATCTCTTGAATCTCTCGAAACAAGACAAAAAACTGGCCGTTCTTTCCTCCACTTTTGCACAAAAGCTCATGGCTTTGAAAATCCAGGTCACCTTGGTCAATGCCACGTAAGTTCCAGTGGTGAGAAGAAATGGTGGTTGAATTGTCGCGTTCTTTTTGCTCACTCGTCACTAGTAGTCTTACCCGTTGACGTCCATCAGTCACAATCCTTAATTTAAATAATCTTATGTAATTGTATTATAGTTGACATCCTAGCCATTGTTTCTATAGCGGCGCCGACACCCTTGCATCATCTGTCATCATACATCCTTGATCCTTCTGAACGAACAACTGAACTCATTTTTTTTGTATATTATGCAATTTTACTAGCCGAGGGTATGGGTTGGTTCTGACAGCCAAGTCAAGGATCGTGCAACGTCCAACATCGCTGCCTCTTTAGCACCTAACACACCTACAGCCCCAACAGCACCTACACAGTCTGCGAGAGCTTCGCCCGGACGGCCAGCGACTCAATAGACATTAGACAACAAAATGCCTGGAAGTGAACCCAAATATCAATATATATAATATATACCTGGGCCGAACTCATCCAAGAAGCTCATCCGACCACTTCAGCATCCTGGGTGTCAGGTGCTGATCCTGGAAGGCGGTCTCAGCTGCGCCCGACCCAAACAGGGGAGACTTATATTGGTCATTGGTCCACCAACACTCAAGGTCTGCAAGAATCTCTTCGGTGTGTTTAGGCAATGCCTCAAAACTGAGCGTAATTGGTGAGTCGAGAGGTGTGGCAAAAAGAGTTACGATCTGTGGGTTCAACCGCCCAGTGCGAACGAACTGGGAACCAGCGGAAAGGACCCAGGTTGTCTCATTTCATCAATGCCAGTGACAGTGGTTCATCCTTTCTATGTCAGCTTGGCGCGTGAACCTTACATTTGTTGAAGAATGCCAGATATATGATTCTGTGTGGATTAATAATACTATCTAATCCATACGGGATATGAGAATGGCACGAACAATTATCACGGTATGTCTGTGCCTCTCTTGCTATCATGCACCATTATTCCTTCATCCCCCACTCGTTACCCGTGGCCTCCTGCATCCGCCTGGAACTCCATCAGCTTTGTGACTCGCTTGGCGAAGTCACCTGGCACCAGTGACTACTTTGGCTGATCACAAAGGTCATCTAATGACACGGGGGTAGCTTTAGAAAGGTTGCGAATATATTTCTGGATTTTTTTTCGTTTTTTATTGAACTTTTTTTGTTTTTCGTGTTTCGTGGCAGGTGCAGTACTTTGTGGACCTTGCAAAGCACATTTCGTGGCAGGTGCAGGACTTTGTGGGCCTTGGAGTGCAGAGTTTGTGGCAGGTGCAGGACTTTTTGTGGGCCTTGAAGTGCAGATTTTGTGGCAGGTGTAGTACTTTGTGGCCCTTGGAGTGCAGATTTTGTGGCAGGCGCAGGACTTTGTGGACCTTGAAGTGCAGATTTCGTGGCAGATGCAGGACTTTGTGGGTGTGGAAGTGTAGAGTTGGTGGCAGGTGCAGGACTTTGTGGGCCTTGGAGTGCAGATTTCGTGGCAGGCGAAAGACTTTGTGGACCTTGAAGTGCAGATTTCGTGGCAGGTGCAGTACTTTGTGGATGTTGAACTGCAGAAAGATAGAAAGATAGAAAGATAAATTGATAGATAGATTAGATTAGATTAGATTAGATTAGATAGATAGATAGATAGATAAGGCACGTTTGCTTGGTTAGAAAGTTTTGCACCGGGGAGTTCACCTTAAAATATTGATTTCGTGGCAGGCGCGGGTGTCGGGGATGAAGTGCAGATTTCGTGGCGCGGGGGGGTTTGGGGGGGGGGCGCAG